CTCATATGTGGAATCTAAAAAACAAAAAACAAAAAACATAAATACAAAACAGAAACAGACTCATAGACATAGAATACAAACTTGTGATTGCCAAGGGGGAAGGGGGTGGAAAGGGACAGACTGGGATTTCAAAATGTAGAATAGATAATTAAGATTATACTGTATAGCACAGGGAAATATATACAAGATCTGGTGGTAGCTCACAGCAAAAGAAATGTGACAATTAATATATGTATGTTCATGTATAACTGGAAAATTGTGCTCTACACTGGAATTTGACACAACATTGTAAAATGACTATAACTCAATAAAAAAAAAGTTAAAAAAAAGAACAAATATGAACCGCTTAGAGGAGGTACCCAGAATACGCAGATTCATAGACAGAAAGTAGAACTGAAGTTACCAGGGATGACAGAAGGGGGCAGTGGGGAGTTATTGTTTAATGGGCAAAGATTTTCAGTTTGGGATGATGAAAAATTTCTGGAAGTGGGTGGCGGTGATGACTGTACAATATTGCGAATGTACTTACTGTACACTGGAAAATGATTAAAACGGTAACTTTAAAAATGCGACCTGTTTGTGGCCATTCCATTGTGAAGAGTATGAAAAACTGAGGAAATACTCTTCCATTGTTCAAAACCTATTATCTGAGTCAGCAAAGACGTCACTCACTTCCTCACTGAAAGTAAAGTCCTGTCACACAGCTAAGTTGTCACTTCAGTCTTACAGGGAACAGTCATGTCAGAGCTACAGGCGTCAGCTGCAGCCGTGAGGAGGCTCCAGTGCAGTGGAAGCAGCCTAAGAATCGGTCGGCTACATGGGACTTCGTAAGGAGGAGTATAACGTGTGATTATGGCTCCATCACGCGCTTTGCCACCTTCACAGCGATAAGACGCGCAGGAAACACGCACGAACGGGTAAGCATGCCTTCTCTTCAGAGAGCCGGCTGCCAAGCATCCCCAGTGCACCGCCGCCGCCGGCAGGGATCTCGGACTGCATACGGCTCCCTCCCCATGAAGCCTGCTTTTTGTCTTGACTGACGATTTCATTCTTTCTCATGTTTGAAGCTGGCAACCACCCTCGAGTCCGCCTCCTCCTTTTACATTCAATTATGTTACTTCTTAAAAGGTCAAGGATTCAGCCCATCCCCTCAGCAGCCCCCATCTGCACAGGCTCACCTCCTGCCCGGCCTGGGCACCGGCGCCGCTCCCGGGTATCAGCCCTCCCGCCTTCCCTCGGTGACGGTGACAGCCTCCTTATCTGCCCCTCTCCCCTTCCCTCGGGCTCTCCACCCTCGCCCTGAGCTCTGCACTCCAGCCACACAGGACTGTAAGGAGTCTCCCAAACACTCCAGGCTATTTCACACCTGTTTCTACCACAGGCACACAGAACATCTTATTACATTGCTACACCCATTTCCTTCTTCTCAACTCCAAGCCCCCATGCAGACTCAGCCTATCCTGTACCTGTGTATCCACTACACACAGCACACTACCTGTATACATAGCACTCAATAACTCCTTGTGAAATTACAGCTTCAGTACAAAGGCTTCTAATTAAATAATGTCTTTGAAATATATGTAGAATCTGGCTCCTTCAGTGAAATGCAAGATTTGAAAGTAAGCCAGAAGCACAGAAATGTAAACACTTCCTTTTTACTAATGACCAATTAAGGCAGAACACCTTTTATAAACAACCAGCGTTTAGAATAAAAGTATAAACAGCCTTGAATAAATCTGTTAATTAAATTATTGCAGATATTTACAAAATTTGTTTTTTTAATTACCATAGTCTTACTAGATCCACAAAATTACTCTGCCCTAGGAAGAAGTTTTTAGCTAATATCTGTCTCTATACAAATATCCCACCATTTTTATAAAACAAATCACCAAGCTTACTAAATTTAAAGAAAATATACTATGATAATACATAAATTACTGGTGATTGCCTGAAATGTCCATTTTACTCATTATATTTAGCTCCGAGTCATTCCCTTAATAGTTGTTGAGTACCTTACTCTGTGCCAAGTTGGGTTTTAGGTGCTGGAAATACATCAATGAAAAAAATTGATGCCCCTAGGCTCATAACACATATTCCACTAGGGAAAGACAAACAATTTATAAACATACAACTAAATATAATAAACATGCTAGTCAGTGATAAGTACTTATAGAGAAAAATAAAGCCAAGTAAGGGAGGACAAGGTTGGAATGGTACTATTTAATATGGTGCTGCTTGCTAAGGTGGTATCCAAGCAGAGACCTGAGGAAAGTGAGGAAGTGAGCCACACAGACAAGCAGTGGAAGAGTGGGACAGGCAGGAGGAACAGCAAGTGCAAAGGCCCTGAGGCAGGAGCACATTTAGTATACTGAGTCACCGCAGGGTGGCCAGTGCAGGGGATGTAGATATAGATGAGGTCAAAGACCACAGTGAAGACTTGGGATTTCACTCTGAGCAAGAAGAGAAGTCAGCAGAGGGGTGTAAGCAGAAAACTGACATAATTAGACTCACTTAAAAGGACCACTCTGGCTACTGTACAGAAAATAAAACATAAGGGATCAATGGTGGAAGCAGGAAATTCAAACTGGGAGGCTTCTGCAATGATCTAAGTGAGAGGTAACGGTGGCCCAGACCAGGACAGCGGTTCTGACAGTAGTGGTAACGGTGGTGAGAAGTTGGACTCTGGATATGATCTACAGGCAACAGCAAGAAAATACGCCAGTGGACTGGATGTGGCATGTGAGACAAAGAAGAATGAGGTAACAGAGTTTGTAAAATTTTAAAACCTTGTATTTTCCTGATGCCTCAACACCCCGACCTGTGAGCATCCTCTCCAGATGACTGGGTGCACTGGGGACAAGGCTGGGCCCTGCCTCCTTGCCCCATCCTGGGAGTGACCCAGTGACTGCCAAGCCCAACAAAGAAGTGTCCTCATGCTTTCTGCTTGTACTTTCCACCCTGACCTCAAATAAAGGCACCTGCCTGCAGTCCTCTCTCTCGGCACCCCACCTACCTGTTGAGCCCGCTCCCTGGACACTCCTCCTGTATGGCGCTATGCCACCCTCTCAGGACCCTCTCCCAGGGTAGTTTTCATTGCCCTGGTGGAATGATCCATGAAGACCCCACAAGGGGTACTTCCTCCTCCATTCGCAACAAAACACCGAGGTTTCTGGTCTGAGCACCTGGGAGAGAGGGGTCATTATTTTCTGCACCAGGAGAGACTGCAGGAAGTGCAGGTTTTCCAAGTGGTTCTGGCAGGAGTGATGATTCTCAGTCCTTTCATGTGCTGGCCAGTGGCTTCTATTCTCACTGCGATCATGAACTACAGAAACCCATCTTGAAGAGGAATGGAAGCTGCTCTGAGTTAGGCAGGAAATCTATAAATGTTCACTACTGGTGACAAGAAAATTCACAACTGCAATTCCCTTGTAGTGGTACTCAGTCACAAATGTGCAGGTTTAATGCCACCCTCAGGGCCTTTTCTGCATATCAGTGACTTCACACTAGCAGAGAGGTATCGTCACATAACTAGAAGCCCAGACTTCCACACTTTTCCACCAGCCTTCACTACATCATCTTCAGAGGCTGGTTTCCCTGAGAAGACTAAGGCCTTGGGCTCCTAACTGATCAAGGAGTCACCTAAATTCAACGTGTGATGTGTGACCAAGGCTCGGGCCTGGAAGGGTGCTCAGGAAGAAGAGCAGGGCAGACTACACAAACCGCAGACCACACAACTACCCGGCACTACAGTACTGAAGGAAGTCAGGTGTATCTCTGTAAAGTTAGTTAAAAGCATGTATAGATACACACGTGTCTAACAGAGAACTACCCAGGACAGAACTTTTAAAGAATTGTTAGTCTAAATCAAAGGAAAAAAACCAAAAAGCCAAAAAACAAAAACAAACCAAACTAGGTATCTATAAAACCAAGGTATGTTGGGGGAGGGTATAGCTTAATTGGTAGAGTGAGTGCTTAGCATCCTGGGTTCAATTGCCAACACCTCCACAAAAATAAGTAAATAAACCTAATTACCATGGCCCCCCTCCTGAAAATTATTTTTCAAATGAGGTATGTTAACCAATGAATATATTCTTCTCCAACTATCTTTCGGCTTCAAACCTTGGTTAAATTGACTTTTTGGGCCCTCTGTATGGAGGAAAAACAAAACAAATTAGCCACTTCTCCCAGGAAAGGAGGCCACATATCTGAATTAACATCTCGGACTAAGCAAGAACAGGATTTTTTGGACACTTATTCAGCACATCAGGCAGGGTGTGAAATCAGGAAACCTACCGCTGGCTCAGTGCCGGATGCTGTAGTGAGTGCTTCAGCCACATACTTCTTATAACGTTGCGAAGTTCATGGTTATTGCAAGCAGACAGCACACCAACCACCACATCATAGTGACTCAATTTCCACTGAGGAAGTAAGGTCAGTTGATCTAGAAATGAGCAACAATAAATCAGAAGTGTCATGTCTCGATGACTGTTAAGTTCAATATGTAACATAAAAATGTTTATTATAATATGAACCTATGTTCATGTTTGCAGAAAATACAACCAAATACAATTTTTTTTTCATTTTCTACATTTTGGTGTAGAGTCTTTTTGCTTCCACACCTAAGTATGCATCCATGCTCACATAAGTATGTAAATTCTTCAAAGCAAATAAGGTGCGTCTGAGAAGGATGTTTGGAAAGTCAATGTGGCATAAACCATACAACAGTAGGTAGTAAGAGTCAATTAGACTATGGTCAGAATCCTGGCTCTTTATTTAACTTCTTGAGCCTCAGTTTCCTTAAGTAGAAATGGGTACAATAATACTTCTCATAATTGTAAAAATTAAACGAGATAATGTGTATAAAGGTACTGGTTTGGTACCAGGCAAATAGGAGGAATTCAACAACCACTAACTGCAACAATCAATGTGCTTTCAATGGTGAAGTCCCACATTAATATTAGTTATTAAATTCAGGAAATGAAACTGAAGGACTACTGGAAAGAATCAGAATGCTTATCTATGTCAATAAATTCTACAGCCAGTAAACATTTATCACTTAAATATTCTAAAGAATGAAGGAGGGAAAAACATTTCTAGTTTTAAAAAAAAATCAAGTAACAAGTCATTTTTTGTTGTCATTTTTATAACTTGTTTTCTTTACTGTCATATTTAATGGGTGGGATTACATTTTTAAAATTTGCCCTTAGAAAAAGACAGAGGGAAAGATACTCTGTTCCTGTTTTTCATCACCAGTGTCAAAGCTGGAGAGCTCAAAGCTTATATATAGCTCTGATTATGGACCCCATTTCATCTCTCCCTCCAGGGGTGGAAACTCCTTCAAAATGTTTCCAAAAATAACTTACTGAAGGCCAGAGGTCTTTACTATACTCAATGCGATGTTCTCATACACCATAGGATCTAGGTACTCAGGCAAAAGACAACAAAAGCAAGTTGATTATTTCTTCAAGGGAGAATAATTTCAATGCTTATGTAAAACTGGCAGTGATAATTCATTCCACTGCTCCCCAACTTTTTCAGAGACATATTAGTAGGAAGGACGTTTTATTGACAGAAGCGAAGCAAATGCAGTAACCAGACACACCTGACATGGATTCTAAAGCCAACACGCTACATTATATCAGTAAGAAGTTATTTAAATCCTTTGTGCCTCAATTTCCTAATCAGAGAAAACTGATACCAAGAAAAAGTCTTTATTTCATCTGTTTCAAAATGTCTTCTCCAAAGAATAAGAAGTTTTCAAAGATTAGAAGAGCAAATATTGTATGTATCCTAAATGCCTCATTTATCTGACACTGCAAGAAAACAAGGTTGTTGCACAAAAGTAAAATTTCAAAATAATTGAAACATCCCTTTAAATGCCAAACATCACTACCTTATTTGTGATGGGTAATCAAGATAAATCTTTTAGGGATGGATTATATGAGACATATTTTAACCACCTCCTGATGACAAAATCATCTTAAACATGTCTTCAATCTCTCTCTCTCATCCTTCATTCCAGCCACAGCTTCTGCTCAGAGTGTCTCACCAGGACCTACAAGGGTACCCTACCCTACTGGTTTCTCCCAGACTTCTCCATATCACTGCCAAAGAAAATTCTTCTATAAATAAATAAATGAGTGGCTATGAAGATACCCACGTGGTACGTGAAAACCTCACGGGTTACAGCTGTAAAGTACTTTTTGATCTTATTCCTCTTCTCTGCCACTGCCAATCCTCTCTGCTTCTAATCCCTGTCTAAGCTGCTTCTGTTGAACTGCTTTACTTTACATGTGTTTCTTTTTCTTGCAGAAGAGAGGTACATGGCAGATTTTGACCTTTTAGAGAACTACTTCCAGATATATGGAAAAAAGGGTTTCTAAAAGACTCAACCAAAAAACTGCTAGAACGAATAAACACTTTTGGTAAAGTTACAGGATACAAAATTCTATACAATAACAAATGATCAGGAAGAGAACTTAAGAAAACAATTCCAATTTCAACTGCATCAAAAAGAATAAAATACCTTGGGATAAATTTAACCAAGGAGGTAAAAGGTCTGTACACTGAAAACTATAACAGACTGATGAAAGAAAATGAAGAAGATGAAAGTAAATGGAAAGGTATTCTATGTTCATGGGTTAGAAGAATTAATATTGTTGAAATGTCCAAACTACCCAAAGAAACCTACAGATTCAATGCAATTTTAATCAAAATTCCAATGGCATTTTTCAGAAATAGAACAGACAATCCTAAGATTTGTATGGAACCACAAAAACCTCAAACAGCCAAAGCAAACTAGAGAAAGCAGCACAAAGCTGGAGGCACCATGCTTCCTGGTTTCAAACTATAGTACGAAGCTACGGTAGTACAGTATTGACATTAAAACAGATACACAGATAAATGGAACAGGATAGAGAGCCCAGAAATAAACCCATGCATGTATGGTCAATTCACTTACAACAAACGAGCCAAGAACATTCAATGGGGGAAAGGACAGTCTCAAATGGTGTTGGGAAAACTGGGCAAGGACATGCTAAATATGAATGAAAGTGGACCACTAACTTACGCCACACCCAAAAATCAACTCAAAATGGATTAAAACCTTGAATGTAAGACCTGACACCATAAACCTCCTATAAGAAAACACAGGCAGTAAGCTCCCTGACATCAGTCTTGGCGATGATTGTTTGGATTTGACACTAAAAGCAAAGGCAACAAAAGCAAAAAATAAACAAATGAGACATCAAACTAAAAAGCTTCTGCAGAGCAAAGAAAACCATCAACTAAATGAAAAGGCAGCCTACTGAATAGGAGAAAACATTCGGAAATCATATATCTGATTAATACCTAAAACATATAAAGAACTCATATAACTCAAGAGCAAAAAACCCAAAGAATTTGATTTAAAATTGGGCACAGGATCTGAATAGATATCTTTCCAAAGAAGACATCCAGATGGCCATCAGGTAAGTGTGAAGGTGCTCAACACCACTAATCATCAGGAAATGCAAATCAAAACCACAGTGAGATTTCACCTCACATCTGTTAGAATGGCTATCATCAAAAAGACCAGAAACAACAAGTGTTGGGCGAGGACTTGCAGAAAAGGGAATCCTTGTGCACTGCTGGTCTCAATGTAAACTGGTTCAGCCACCGTGGAAAACAGTATGGAGGTTCCTCAAAATACTAAAAGCAGAGATGATCCAGCAAGTCCACTTCTGGGTATTTAGCTGAAGGAAACGAAAACACTCACTAGCAAAGATACATGAGTGGGGGTGCTACGTGTGACAACAAACACAGGCTTGCTCACTGCAGCATTATTTTCAAAAGCCAAGACACAGGAGCAGACCAGGTGTCTACTGATGGATGAATGAAGAAAGAAAGGTGTGTTTTCTATACACATTGGAATATCATTCTGCCATAAAAAAGAAGGAAATCCTGCCATCTGCAACAACATGGATGAAACCTGAGGGTATTATGCTAAGAGTAATTACGTCAGATGAAAACCAATACCATATGATCTAATTCATATGCAAAATCTAAAACAAAACACCATATTCACAAATACAGGGAACAGACTGGTGTTTGCCAGAGGCGAGAGGTAGAGGGTGGGCCTGACAGATGAAGGGGGTCAAAAGGTACAAACTTCCAGTTATAAAACAAGTAAGTACAACACAGTGACTACAGTATTGTTTATTTAAATGGTGCTAATGAGAGCACATCTTAAAAGTTCTCATCACAGGAAAAAAAGTCTGTAACTATATGCAGGGATGGATGTTAACTATACGTACTGTGGTGACTGTTCTAGAATACATATGTATTTTGAATCATTATGCTATACACCTGAAACTAATGTAATTTGTCAATCATATCTCAAAAAAACCTGGTTTCTTCTACCATGTACCATCAATGTAAATCAGTCCAACACCTGGGAGTGCTGTGTTACACAGTATGAAGCCCAAAGTGAATTTTCAGTAACTGCCTGTGTAAGACTGCTGCCCAGCTTCCCAGTCCCCTCACCAGGACTGGGCTCTATACTTCTGTCACCCTCTACTCAATGTCACAAGTATAGGGCACCTAGTTTGATTCTGGTTTTTGGAAACAGAAAAACAAAAAACAAAAACAAAAAAACTAAGAAGTAAACATGAGGCAAAAAGAAATAAAGATAATTTACAGAAGAAGAAACACAAATAGCCAACAAACCTATGGAAAAAGTTTTAATTTCACTAGGAATCAAGTTTGAATTAGAGCAACGAGATACCACTTTTCTCCTAGATTCAAATGGACAAATTATCTTCTTAAACTTTAATACCCGAATGGCTGGAATTTTGATAGTTATTTCAAGGAAATGGCTACTTTCCTCTGCTGCTGGTAGCAAAGTAATTTGGTACAGTATTCTGCAGGAAAATTCGCCAACTTATATCAAATAGCTCAGAACTGGGGCAACGGTATAGCTCAGTGGAAGAGTGGGTGCTCAGCAAACACGAGGTCCTGGGTTCAATCCTCAGCACCTCCAGTAAATAAACAAACAAACAAACAAATCTAATTACCTCCCCCTCAAATTTAAAAAAAACCACAAAACCAAAAAACCCCAAATACCTCAGAACAACATAACTTTTGTCCAGCAATTCCACGGCTAAAGAGCACATTGTAAAGAAATAATCAGTGATACACTGAAAGATCTCTA